CCCATCCTGTCACTAAGCCGTGCCAATGTTTGCCATGTGTTGCCAGTGCAATCTTCCCTCAAGATTCATTTCATACCAGGCATGGTGGCGCATGCATATCCATAGTCCTAGCACTCAAGAAGTTGAGGCAGGATGATCATGAGCTCAAGGCCAGCTACAGAGCTGACCCTGTCAGAAAAGAAAACAATGTGTGCTTTAAAAATCATTTACAATTAATCCATGGATCTTCACATCCTTCAAAGCTGCCTCTTACATCTTTAGTTACATTGCAGAAGCCAGAGTGGGTACCTACCTTTCAGGAAAGCCCCCACTGGCTCCAGGGTGGTGACAGGAAGGTTTATGGGACTATATTCCTAAGGAAAATTATCAGTGGTGAGATTTCTTTTTCATCAAAGGAAGGCTGACTTGAGAGAGATTGGTAAACTGAGGCAGGAGGCAAGTACTGCATCCAGCCCAGGTTAGAGTTCTTGTAAAGCATGCTTTTACTGTGTATTGTATGGTGGCTTCAATACGCTGGCCTTTGGATCAGGGACCAGACTGGCTGTACGCCCATGTGAGTACGATCATGCCAATGACCGAGAAGACCTGATGACTTGTTAGTGTCTTCTCTAGCAAACCGGGGGTGTGTGAAGCATCATTTCTTATTTCCACAGGCTCTTATGGTCGCCTAAAGTGTTCCCAGTTCTCATACTGAAGTCAGAGAGGTGCCAAGAGCAACTGAATAAATGAAAATCTGAACAGAATAATTTATAGGGGAAAAATTAAAAGAGTTGCAGATACTCGGTGCTTCCATGTGAAGCTGATAAGATCAGCACCAGATAACCTGAACATTCAGGAAATTAGCTAAGTGCCCTTGGGGAAGAAGAGATGAGTTAATGGCGAACACAAATTCTCTTTTATTGCAGCAGGTAGTTAAACTCGTGGGTTAGCTAATGAATGTGGTAATGGGACACCAGTTCACAGAGACTTTTCCCAGAACTGAGTTGAGCCCAAGGGTAAAAATGACTGAGCCCTGTGAATGGCCAGTGTGCTCTGTGTTATAATATGGGTAGAGACAGAGATGGACAAGGAGGATGACCGGCCTGGGTGACAGGCCCCACCTTCACGAGCCATATTTAACACTGTTTCCACTTTCAGCAACAAGCTGATAGCACCACAACATAAGGTGAGATGTTGCCTGCACACAACAAGAAATCCTTCACTGAGAGTGTCTAATGCATACATCCTTGGCATAGTCTCATGGCCTTGCCATTCTACAGTTTACATTATTATAAAAAAGAGAGGGCAACAGCTTCCTTGGTAAATAGAAGTTGTAAGAAAACAAGAACTTGATGACAGTTTAGGGTACTGTCCTGAGACCCCAGTGGGCTCCAGCAGAGTGGTATCATCAGAAAGGATTCTGCAGAGACCTTACCTGAGTGGGGATTCAGCTCTAGCCCCAGACTAATCTTTGGAGCAGGGACCAAATTAAGCAATCCGTCATGTACAGAGAATGAGGCAAGTATAGAACACACAAGTACTTTCTCTTCCTCGATGTACAAGACACTGGCTTGAGTCCAGGTATTTTCTTCTGTGGGATCTTAAATGGTTCTATTTGTTTTGTTTATTTGTTTTTGTTTTTTGAGACAGGGTTTCTCTGTGTAGCTTTGGAGGTTGTTCTGGATCTCGCTCTATAGACCAGGCTGGTCTTAAACTCACAGAGGTCCTCCTGCCTCTGCCTCCCGAGTGCTGGGACTAAAGCCATGTACCACCACCGCCCGACCTTAAATGGTTCTAGAAAGAACCCATCCCACCCATCACTAAGTACTGAGGAAACATCATCCTTGCATTGACCCTTGACAGTCACGAGGCCAGTGATAATCTAGGTCCTTCAACTAGAGGCTCTAAGGTACTGCCATTCTGAGCAGGGAGTTCCGATCTCATGAATTCTACTTAATTCATTGAAATCACATAAACTCACTTCATTTCAGGGCACCACAGTTAGAACTGGACAGGAGGAAAGAGCTAAGTCTTAAGAATATGATTCTCAGCCAGGTGGTGGTGGCCACAGCACACGCCTTTAATCCCAGTGCTCGGGAGGCAGAGGCGGGTGGGTCTCTGTGAGTTCAAGGCCAGCCTGGTCTACAGAGTGAGTTCTGGGACAGACTCCAAAGCTACACAGACAAACCCTGCTCGGAAAAAAAAAAAAAGAAAAAGAAAAAGAAAAAAAAGACTATGACTCTCCACCCTGAGGGAAAAGCATCTTCAGGGTAGGTCTCCTGAGCTTTTGTAAAGGTGTCACCTGCAGTGTGAATACTGGAGGAGTAGGTGGGAAATTAACTTTCGGGAAAGGGACCCAAGTGGCGGTCATCTCTGGTGAGTCATCCCAAGTGGCACCATTTGCAACCCTGTAGACCAGTGTCATTAATCCTTTCCCTGGAGATGGCCATTGTTCCTATGGCAGGGTGAGGCTTACTGGGGGTATTGTACTAATTGTTTTACAGAGGTCTGCAAGAGGGGAAGGCATCACTATCAATCTTAAATATCTGTGTTTCTCTAGGTCAAACTCATTAAAAAATGACTTTAATCATCCAATGGACACTTTTAAATGCCTTCTAAGTAGCTATCATTCTCGATAATGTTAGGCTGAGAATAAGAAAGCCTAAGATAGATGTTTGACCTGTCCCCAAACAGCATAAAAACCGCCAAAGCTTCAGAACTATTATCCATTTAGCAACCTACAAACTATTTTAGTGTCCACAACTGTTGGTGTAGATAAACAGATTCAGATGGGTTAAAGTCCTGGTAGAAGGTGCCCTAGACAGAGGCTGTTTCTGTGCTAGAAAAGATTTGTTGAGCCTTGACAGATTGATGCCATCTGTAGGGGTAGGAGAGAGGAGGGAGGCAGAATTCCGGCAGAGGGTAACAAGAAAGAAGATCTGATCTTGGGATAAACAAGGCACAGGCCTTTTGGCCTGTGTAGGCAAATTTGATAATAAAAATGGACTAAGAGAACAAAACAGAAAGGAGCTATTAACCAGGTGGTGGTGGCCCATCCTTTTAATCCCAGCTCTCAGGAGGCAGAGGCAGGTGAGTCTCTGAGTTCAAGGCCAGCCTGGTCTACAGAGCAAGTTCCAAGACAGCCAGGGCTATGCAGAGAAACCTTGCCTTGAAGAAAAGAAGAAAGGGGAGAGGGAGGGAGGGAGGGAGAAGAGGAAGGAAGGAAGGAAGGAAGGAAGGAAGGAAGGAAGGAAAGAATACTAGAACCTTCCAGAGAATACAGAAATTGGGACCAGGGCCAGCCACAAGAAGTGAGAAACCAGTCTTCTGTGAAATGTGAGGGATCAATTCTTTCCACGGGTGGCCAGGGAATCCTAGGACGGCAACCATGGGTTTCTCTGTAACTCTCATTTGTGAGTTCCCAGTGCCTAACGACAGGGTATTTCCATCACTGCAATATCCCCGGGGACCTACAGTGCTAATACGTTCAGACATGGCCTTATGTGTTCGTTTTGAATTGTGATGACAGGTTAGGATCTAGAACAGCTGAACTTGTAGTTGAAAAATTGATCCAGTCCTGCTAAAGTGACCTCCGATGCCATTCAGTGGTAAAATGTGTTTCTCTTATGAGGTAGGAATAGGACGTCTCTCACCACAGGGCTCTGGGAGACAGAAACCCAAAGACCTCCAATTAAAGGTGATTTGTTTCTGGTTTTCAGGGGGAAAGGTAAGGTGGCAGCAGATATCTGTGGGGCTGGAAATGAAAGGTGCTAAAAACTAGGAAGCTCCTGTGCGGCCACCTTATCTGCTTGTCTGAAAGGGGCTAAAGCTCCGTGTCTGACCAAGGCGCCCACCCAGCTGTGCATGGGCCCCACGGCGCTGTCTTGACTCAGCATCCTAGAGCTATGCCAGGCCCTGATTTCTTTGGTTCATGATCCAGCTGGAAGTCTGCATTGCCAAGGCCACTCTAGTTGTCTCAGTGAGAAGAGAGCATCACCCAGGCCTAAACTTCCATGCATAGTGAAGAGCCTTGGGAGTGAGGAGCACAGGCCAGGAAGTTCAGGTCCCAGCCCTGCTGGAAACTCCCTAGGTGGGCTGTTGTGTTAAATCCTCCGGGCCCGCCTCTGCTTCTTCTTCTGACAGTGGAAGGGTGGGGAAACTAGTCAGTAAGAGTCACATTAAACACAAGGAGCTTCAGAAGAAGTGAAGACTCAGCCCTGAGGAAGGGCTTCCGGCAGCCCCCGCTTCCTGGAATGGACAGTGATTGTTTTGCTCAGTAGTATGTTTTCATGGTGAAACCCTGGCAGTGCTGTGTGCTTGATTTGGTTCATTTGGTTTGGAGAAATAGTCATTTCTCAGCACTGCCTAGTTGGAAAGGTGGGAGAAGCAACTCGTCCATTGTATCGGTAAAAGTTCTGAGCCTTCAGCCGCCTGGTGATCTAACCAAGGCTGTCAGTGGCCAAGGCTTGGATGTGGGTGGTTTTGGTTTGTTACTCAAAGCATTTACCAAAGAGAGAAATCTCCTGGTGATATGATAGATTTTCCAAGTTAATGTCTAAATATCACAGGCCTGCATTTCCCATCAGTATCCAGCCTACTTTGGGGGTGAGCCCTCTAGAGGGACAGCTTGGTCCTCTGGGCCCCTTTTCCTACGCTTGTTTTCGTCCTGCCAGAGCAAAATCGTTGACTAGACTTACTGAGGTTTTGAAGATGTCATTAAGTCAAAGAATGGCAAGATGGTTTGGTGGCCCCACCTTTATGGTTTTCCAGACCTCATGGAGAGCAACAGCAGAGAACTTAAGATCTTGGCCAGGACTCATGACTTGTGCCTGTCCCTAAGCCGGAGACCATCACGAACAGCTGGTTTCTAAGACCTCACTTCCGGCGTAAAGCCTGAGAGCAGTACCAGCTGACCCAGAGAGCTCTGCTCTTGCCTGTCACTGGCATCTGAGTTCTGGCCTAGGTTAGGACACAAAAGGTAAAAAAGAGCATCTTCTAACCTCAGTCCTCTTGGCCCACAGACATCCAGAACCCAAAGCCAGCTGTGTACCAGCTGAAAGACACTAAGAACAAGAATAGTAGCGTCTGCCTGTTCACCGACTTCAGTTCTCAAGTCAATGTGTCAAAGAAAGTGACACCCGACGTGTTCGTCTCCGACAAAACTGTGCTGGAAATGAGGTCTATGGATTCCAAGAGCAATGCGGTCATTGCCTGGAGCAGCCAAAGTAGTTTCAACTGCAAAGACACTTTCCAAGAGAACACCTCCTACTCCCTCTCAGGTGAGTGTTGCCCAAAGCTGTGCCCTTACTTCAGAAGAGGCCCAGCTCAAGTCTATGGCGTCTAAAAGCTTCTTTAGGTCATGTACTCATCAGTTGTCAGCAAAATCCACATCCTGTTTGATTAGTATCCTGTCCTAGCAGGCCACAAATGCCCTGACCCTAAAGCCAACAAGAGAACATGATACAGGACATTGGCCCAGCAGTGGTCTCACTGTTTTGAGCTCACACACCTTCCGGTCTTTGTTGGAGCCACTTGCCCTTTCTGTTCTCCCAGGCACAGTTTCCATGCTCCCTCCCTACTCCCTAGCTGCCTGGTTTCAGCGTGTGGGTACAGTCTCAGATGCTGCAGTGACATGAGAAGTCAGATGAGGGGGCTGCCCCTAGGGAACACCATTCTAATGAAGAAAGGCCAACTCTCAGTGGAGGGACATGTCAATTACGTTGGACTGTGATTAATATATGCATTAAGTTACAGTTGAGGGAAGAACCACCTCAGAGAAGTGCTCTGAGGAAATGCTATCACACTACCACTAGAAAAGGAGGGACCAAGCCGGCCATTGGGGTGCACACCTTTAATCCCAGCACTCGGGAGGCAGAGGCAGGCGGATCTCTGTGAGTTCGAGGCCAGCCTGGTCTACAGAGTGAGTGCCAGGATAGGCTCCAAAGCTACAGAGAAACCCTGTCTCGAAAAAAAAAAAAAGGAAAGAAAGAAAGAAAGAAAGAAAGAAAGAAAGAAAGAAAGAAAGAAAGAAAGAGAGGGACCAGCCAGGCCTAGGCCAGAAAAGACCCTGTCAAAGTCCAAGGAAAGAGAATGCTGAGAACAAGGGAAAGCTGCAGGGAATGAATTGAAAGATGTAAGGCAAGAAGGTCAGAAGTTCAAAGCTATCCTCACCTACACAGCAAGCTCAAGGCCAGCCTGGACTATCTGGGACCCTGTCTCCAACAACGAAATAAAATAAAAGGCTGATTGCTGAGTGGAGGGTAGATAGTAGGTCCAGCAGAAGACAGAGAATACAGGAGAGAGATGATGGAGGCTCTACCAGGTGGTGGTAGGGACTCCAGTGGCCAACACCACTTGGGCTTCAAGGATGGAACCATACAGAGATGAAAGGCCATGGGGCATCAAGGAAGGCCTCTGAGTAGTGGGATTGGGTACTAAGTAAGAGACAACAAAGGAAAAGAATTGGGCATCAGAACTTTCTGCAATACATGAAAATATAGAGCTCTAGACACTGTGAATATGTCTCCAAGCCTTTATTGGTCTCTGCACTGAAACCTGCCCAAGTCCAGGAACTGGCTATCTTGACTTTGTGGTCATGGCATGCAGCAGCCCCCCTGCATAGCCAGTATTTGTTGAAAGAATGAAAGGGTGCCCAGAAGTCGGGGTATTGGTCCTATTGGGACCTTTGTGCCATTAGGTGCCCCTGGGCAATATGTCTCCCAGTTCTCTCCCAAAGGATCACAGAAGAATCAGCATGCTTTAGACGCTAAGATGATTTCTTTATTTTTCCTTTTAGACGTTCCCTGCAATGCCAAGTTGATAGAGAAAAGCTTTGAAACAGGTAAGAGAAGGACCTGCCCCATTTTGCATGATGCTGGGGAAGCAATGAGTACATAATAACCTTTAGTGCTTAGGGGAGGAGAAGGAAGTGGGTCTGGGGATAGGAACAGCACTTCCAAAACTGCTCCCAGCTGCCCAGGGTCTGTCTTGAATCCCTCCAGCATGACTAACTTCATTTTCCATTCTAAGTCCTTGGCAAGGTGTGTCTTCAGTTTCACAGGACACTGAGCTACTCCCAGGCCTCTGTGTCTCTTAGTAGTTCCTCTGTAAGGCTAGCCAAAGAAAGCTGCTCGCTGTCCAGCCGTGAAGCTTGTGAGTCCCTTCAGAGCAGCCCTGAACTAACCATGTCACTCTGAGGACACTGACCTTCTACATCTTGGAAAAAACCTTTCTAGAAAGGCAGTAGAACTCATATAGCCTCAGGCTTGTCTAGTCTCAGTGCCCCCACATTACTGAGTCATCACTCCTATGGTTTCACTGAGGGGCCCAGGCCCACAGGGTTGTGACACATGCTCTAAACATCTACCCCAACCCCATCCCAAAGCCTACAGGCCCTCAGAGTATTATATGGCCTAAGTCCTTCTGGTGGTTTTTCTCTTAAAAGACAATGTTCTTGCCCTGGAGGAATACACAAATGCTTTTGCCCTGGGATGTATGCAAAAGCTTAAAGAAATGGATCCAGGAGTTGAAGTCACCCACACCCAGCCTACCCAGTTCTTGGGAAAGTCCACAGCACCTTGCTGTACAGACCTCTCGTGTGCACACCCTTAACGGCTATGGCCTCTTGGTTTCACAGATATGAACCTAAACTTTCAAAACCTGTCAGTGATGGGACTCCGGATCCTCCTCCTGAAAGTGGCCGGATTTAACCTGCTCATGACGCTTCGACTGTGGTCCAGCTGAGGTGAGGAGGCATCAAAGCTTGGAGAAGGGTTAGGGGTAGGGGGTTCGGGGAAAGACCCATCCCTGAGAGCAAATCCTCCCCCAATAGGAATTTGCCTTTAAATCCTAAGACTGGACCCTCAGATCTTTTCTATCTCTTCTGTTACAAGCTGCTGTGACACCAGTGACCCGAATGTGTTTCACAGAACACAGGCCCTTCAGCACCCTCAGCTGAGCCACACCCCTCCTAAGATACACGAGGAACAGCTCTGATTACCCTTATTTAGAAATGAAGAAAGTGAAGCCAGGTCACATCAAGGGCACTCAGGCAATGAGTAAAGGAGGAGAAAAATTCTGACTCCGATGCCTATTTATCACGTGCTTTTGTCCCTGCCTGTCAGTGTGGAAACCCCTTTCCTCGTGTCCTTTCTCCCAGCAAGCTCTCAGCATGATGCTTGAAGACACTATATTCGCTATCCCTAAGCCTGGCTAGAGTCATCATGCTTCCATCCTGACAAGGTCCCCAGTCACCTTGCACAGCCCCAAACAAAGCCATCCCCAGGGCATCCCTGAGTCCTGACCTCTGCTCTTCCTCACTCCAGGTTGGCAAGACTGAAAGAGGCTGAACTCCCAAGCTCCTTCCTCTTCATCACCCCTCCTCTCCCTCTTCAAGCAAAAAGGAGCCCTCCCACCTCATAAAAATCCCGCCAACTGGATCTCCTGAATTTGTGATGGAGATTGCTGAAGAGCTGCTAAGTGCCACTGCACCCAGTCCACTCCCTTACTGCTGCTGGCCATTCACAGGAAGACAGGGGCTGCGA